CCAGAGTGCCGAGGAAGCTTCCACTTTCCGAAAGGCCCAGCGCTGGTGCATGTTTGTGAGCAGTGATTCTGACTGTCGTTAGGATTTATGGGTCTGTGAACGGGGCTGTTTAGAGTGCGTGTGCGCGTGTGATGATTAATGAGGTATTTTTGGCAAGTTGGCAATACTCATCAGTGCCACGGCAGTTTTGTTTCAAAAGTGCTGGTGCTGGAGAAAGAGGGATTTCAGCCCCTCTGCACTGTGTGATGTCAGCAAGCGGGACAACAAAAGAGGAGCCCAAATCCGTCCTGTTTGCAGCATTACAGGGGCCCGAGCTGGGCTGAGCACAGCCCTCTTTTCACTGGGACAAACATACCACAGCACACACACACACACACACACACACACGGGGGGGGGGACTACAGCCCGACAAACTCCCACCCGCTCCTTCAGCATTCATACATTTGTGCTTTTATTCATCAGCAGCAGCAGCTCTGTAAAACATTACTTTTAGCTAAAAACTAAAAACTGTAAAAAACTGTAAAAACATTACAGTCTCAAAAATGAATTTGCGTGAAAATGAGTTTTATTCAGCTCAGATAATCACTTCTAATGAAACAGTGCAAAGCAAAATATTAATTAAGATGAACTAAATCAACATTTACATCAAATCAAACCCAAAAACACCACAAATCAACTCTTTACAGTGTGAGTAACCTGGCTGTCTGCAAATTTAGACTTCAAACTGTAAGTTAACACAGTGTGGGACTTCTGTAAACTGTTTTAAGAATCAGAATCAGAATCTTTATGTGCCCAATTTAGACGTTTGGGGAATTTCTCCTGTGAAGGTTTCAACAAAAACTCCAATACAATAACTTACGAAATACACAAGAAAATATGTGCACTGTAAATATTGATTTTGCTGTAAGGAAAAAAGTGATTGATAATTCCAAAGTAAACTAATACACACGTTCTGAAGTTCAGGATCAAAAGTTATTTCTAAGTAATTTGTGTGAAAAATTGGCTAATATTTACTATTCACTAACATTTCTGCAAACATATTTATTATAAGTGAAAACTCTGTAGTCAAGTATACTGTGAGCATTTACAGTGTAATACACAAGATGAGCAGAGGGTGATATATACAGTCACATTTTTAAACATAGAGATGGGTTTCCAGTTTAAAAAATCCAATGATTTCTATTTTTTAGTTGAGAAAATAAAACATAAATTTGTGTAAATAAGTTAACGCATCCTTAACAGAGAACATACATCAGCACATTTTAATGCACAATTACTGTTCATTACTGTTTATGTTATGTACTGAATTTGAAATACTGGGGGAAGAAACATATATTATGGACTTTGCAAAAGTTATGGCACCATTTCAAATTTTAATAATTTTAATAATTTTAATTAATAATAATTTTTTGGCCTTATTTATTTTCTTTGCTATACTTTTACTATCATACATTTAGATTTACACTTTTCAGTTCCTTGTTCTTTTGCATAATGTTCGGCTATGTTATAAATGAGGTTCATACTCAATGTACTGAGTGTAAATAAGGGTTGAGTGATTGATTGATTCAATGTGTTAAAGGGGAGTTAACGAGGAATTTTTCAAAATTTCCTAATTATTTAATTGAAATTTAAATCAATGGTGTGATTACCCTTTAAAATCGGCAAATAAATAGAAATTGTGCAGTAAAATTTGCAGAAAATCCCATATTTTGCTGTGTTCTCTGTTAAAAACGTGTTAACTCATTTTGTCTTAGACGTTCAACAGAACATGGAATTCAGCAGGGGGTGACCGTGGAGGTTTGGGGGGGGGGTGCAATGTACGTTTGCAATAACTGAAAGTGCATATGTGCAACCGGGAAACTGACTACAGAAGGGGAATTTGGGGACTCCAGCCAGAGAAATACAGTGCATATGACATGCATTACCATTTGTGCTTTAACCCCTTAAATGGCCGCCGGTGGGCCCAAAGTTTTATTACACACTCCTATAAGCTCAGAATAGCTCAGCCAGGTTGCACTGAAGTCGCTGTAGCAACTGAAAAATAAGCTTTAGTATGTAATAAGCCTGGATTTCAAGGGGTTAAAGTGCATGTGCAACTGATCTGGACAGATTAAGGCAGTCTTTTCAAATTAAAGCTCCAAATCTTTTGTAGCAGTGTATTATTTTATTCGTCTGCATGAGTAAACTAAACCCTGAGCGTTATCGTGAGTTCAGAAGAATCCAGCAACCACCAATTAATTAATTACAGCAAACTTTCATGCCATTTTTTCTCCTCACCCCTGTGATTTAGCGCCGTGGAATGAAAAATGGCTCTAGCCTGTGCTTGAGAAAGTACTACGTCACCGTAAGCGGCTATGCGTGCCATTTATTAATTTCTCATATCCAGGTTGAGATGTTTTAGAATTAGCGAATTCAGCTCAAGCGCACACCTTTGTTTGTTTAAAGCCTGAGCTTTGACACACCAAAGCCTCTCATGTTTTTACTTGCAAATCAGGATTACGGCCTCCATGAAGATTTCTAATGGAGAGCAAGCGCAATTACAGTTAATATGCTTGTCCAAGCTGTACCAGCGCACTCAAAGGAAGAGCTTTTTTTTGCCAAGAGGCTGAGCACTCTACAGTACAGCAGCTGGAACTGAGGAGAACCTTAACTCGGTTTAGTGTTAAGAAGAATAAAATAGCATGGATTTTTCTAAAAAACAAAGATAATCTGTTTGTTAAGGGTTTGTTTGTCTGAAATTGTTACTTTTTAATGGAGTACACTCTCAAAAATGGGTTCTTCAAAGGTTCTTCAGTAAGGCAAACAGTTACAAAAAGAACCATGACAACTCAATGAGCCATTTTAATGCTTGTTATGGTTCCTTGCATGGTTCTTCTCCATGATGGGGACTCTGCAAAGTTCAGCCTTAGAAGCTGGTTGATCATTTTCTGAAGTAATCAAACACATTCAGTGGCGTTGAGGTCTGGACTCTGGGGTGGTCAGTCCATTGTTCAGCTTCTTTGTTTGACGTGTCCGTCTCCTTTTCTCAGTGAGGTTCTTCTTGACAGCTACACATCCTTTCAGACCCACAGCGCTGAGTCGTCTTCTCACAATGGAAGGATGGACAGAAACACCTGTGGATGTTTTCAGATCTGAAGCAGCTTGATTTTCTCCTCTCTCTCAAAGATGAAAGCTTTAAGTGCTGTTTATCTGACGGGGGCAGTTTTGGTGTCTACCAGCTCTTCCAGGTGGTTGTTAGGAGCCACATTTTCTCTGTAGCTTTTAATCAGCTTTTGAAGTTTTTAATCTCTGCAGAAATATCCTGAAAACAAATAATTTGTACTTGTTTTTGTACTTCTATTTCATTTTCATGGTGCTAAGAGGAACAACACAGTTTTTACTTCCACAGCACAACAGACAACAAGCAAATATTGGCCGTATTACATATTTTGGTCTGTCTATAAGTCTGTACTGATAAACAACAGGCTCTAATGGCGGAGGAGCACAGCTGTACCCTGAGCTCGCTGAGTCATAAAGCTACCCTGTTTACCGGCTCCATTTCAGCCCATTTTTCCTCCCAGCCATTGGAAACAGGAGACGGGCAGTGAGGGAGTGGCGGCGCTTCCCCACTTTTGCTTTTGTCTCTCCTATCCCACTAAAAAAGAAACAGCTTAACGATACTCAGACCTGTTTACTTAGAACCTCAGAAATAGTCCCTGCCATCTATGACGGCTACACTTACAGTCCTAGTAAGTTCTGGTAAGGCCAAAAGAGCAGGGAAACGATGAAGGAGGGCCATTGTGGATCCCTCCAGAAACTCAACAAGCGCTCTTTATGACGGGGAAGAATTATGATGGCCGTGCCGAAGAGCGGATCAGTGAAATCTCTGCTAGCGGAGAGAGATAAGGCCGGCGATTGTCACATACTGTAACACAGCAGCCTCCATTCATTAGCAAGTCCTCGCGTAATAAACTGCTGCAGGAACGAACGGCAGCTGGACGATGAAGCTTCGCACACAACGGCAGCCTTTCTCCGTCCGGCCCTGAAAACTTTGTGAAAGGCCAGACGCTCTGTGAAGTCCTCTGTGATTCCACAGCCTGAGCACAGACTCCAATAGACGTTTGTTTTGGGGGAGCAAACAAGGGCTTCTCTTTGACTAAATAAAGAAAAATAGACTCTTCAAGAAGCAAAGCAAAAATCGATACACAGGCTTGTGCTGACTAACCTGGAAAAATGCATTTATTCTCCCTTTTTGATTCAAATATTAAACTTTCTACACAGTTCTTGGGTAAAAGGTAAAAGTCTTTCAGTTGGAAAAGAACATTTTGTAGAAGTTCTACCAAACTTTACAAACAGTCTTCAAATTATCTTCCACTGAGATTGGTTTAGGGAATGGTTCAGATGTCTTTACAGTCGTGGTGATAGGAAACAGGGGTCGTCATGACAACAACACAAATATAATTTTATTTACTATCCAAAACCACCAGTGAACCTACACGAGTCTTCTGAGTTTATATGGAATGTTGATGATGGAAAATAGTGGAAAATCTTAAAAAAATAAGTTTTCTTTCGGGACTATTTTGCCTCACAACACCCTGCATATTATGTATCCCTCCACCATGAATGGATATTAAGGCCAAGATCTTCTCAAAACTATCAGAAAACAGTGTCTCAGACACCAGACAGTGAATTCATAACCATTTCATGTAGTAACTTTCTGTGAGGGAGCTTTTAGAGGTGGACGTCTGGTTCCTATCACCACCACTGTGAACAGTTCTGACTTGGTAAGTTTGTTTAGAACAGAGCGTTTCACACCAAACCACTCTGGATGACTCTGTTTACATCTTAATGATTCAATTACATAGAATTTTTGAAGAATTCCCCTTTGTTTTGCCTAAGGATAAATTCCAGGGATAAAAATCCTTTTTAGTCTTGGCTTAGGCTTAATCTGGGTCTGGGAAACTACCCCCCTTCTCCTCTTTTTGTCCCTCTAACACTTTATTCATTCTTGTTTCTTGCAGAACTGGTGGGAACCAACATGAAAATTATTAGAAGAAAACAGGCCTGAAAAGGGAAAAAAGGTAATGTTCTCTTGAAACTTTAGACATTTTTACTTCAACATTGGTGGCCTAGAACGTAATGGTTCTGTTTGCTGGCCACTGACAAAGCAATTCCACACATCTTAAACGTTTGAAAACATTTGCACACTCAAACATACTCCTACATTCTTCAGATGCACCAGCCAGGTGGAGAACATCACCAAATCCACGAGTGTGAGTTGTCCATTGTGTGCTTTCCTGTCTCTTTTACACAGGAATGGGGGTAAATTCCAGTGGAACCGAGATGGGTTAAATTCCAGATCATTTCATCTCAACTTTGAAATGCAGTGGGGAACCTTCAGGACCTTCTAGGCCCTCGGAGAAGACCTAACGATTTAAAAGAACTAACAAGAAAACATCTGCACTTATTAGGTCATCAAGTTTTGATTTACAGGGGGACCAATTTCATGAGAAAAAACATTCTTCTGGAAGTTCTAGACTACTGCTTAGTGATTTAAGCAGGTTTGGGTCAGTTGTTAGGAATGGAAAACAGCGGCAGCAGCTCTATGTCAGAACTCTTTACTGAAAGAGTCACTGTAACACTGATACATACAAGCTCAGATACATGTTAATGTCTGTAAGAAGATTCAAATAAAATATATGGAGTGTCTTTTACAGGCTTCAACTGTCTATTTTTAATCTAGTACAGACAAAAAATGTTTGTGTGCGCCAACATTAGCTTAGTGCTAGCATACTTTAAGAAACTCACAGGGATACGGGGATTCACGGCCTGTCCTGGAGGCCTAGGTGTAATAGTCACAGTTCACCACTGCTGTCATCATACCACAACACATACATACAGCCTTTAAAGGCGGTCCTTCATGAGTTCCTTGGTAAAGGCATCAGACATACAGTACTGTGCAAAAGTCTTGTGCACCAACACACATCATGTCAGACTTGTACTGTGCAGGGTTTGTTTATCAAACCTGATATTGAATGATAAATACAAATAATAATGGACCTCCATGAGGAGAAATTTAGAAATGGTTCCAAAATAGAAGCCATATCGCCCCCTACACTTCCTGTAGTGTATTACAGTCTGTCAGAGTGACTGTGTGGATCATATGAACATTATAGAGGCTTTTTAAATGAAACAGTAGAAGCCATATCGCCCCCTACTCTTCCTGTAGTGTATTACAGTCTGTCAGAATGACTGTGTGGATGATATAAACATTATAGAGCTCTTTTCAATAATCAGTGGTAATTAATCATTGAAGCTTATTTATAATATATATATATATATATATATATATATATATATATATATTTACACATATATATTATGAGGGGAAGTAATGTGGCATTGCTGTCACTGTGGAGGTATATAGGGTGAAGGGAAGAGGGGGGGCCACTGTGGAGCGCATTTGGAGGGACACTGCTCTGTTGGGGGTGCCTTTACTTTTGCATGGTGGGTCATTGTGGCTCCTGATCATCCTTCCGACAGCCTCCCTCTGATGGACGGCAGAAAGGAGGGGTAGAGGTGCACTTGTCTTCTGGAATGTGGCAAGTTCCTGCAAACTGTTTGCCTTTGTGCTGGAACGACTGTGAGCTCCTGTTTTCTCACCTTCTAAACCAGCCCACGGGTTCCAGCCCTGTGTGGAGAAAATTCCTTCAGCGAGGTCAATGCATCAATTCATAATCAATGTCAAACATAAACTTCTGAGCAAGTCGTTTTAGCAGGAACCACTACTCTTTTTTAGACCCTTAAACCTGCTACCTCTCAAAACGTTGTATGTGCTGGTTTTAGACTTTATTTAAACCTTTAAACTCACATAAGCACATAAATAATTGAATGAGGGAAAGTTTTCTTCAGTTAAATAAGGACAAAACAGAGATCATTGGCTGTGGCAATAAAGAGAAGAGACTTAGTATTAGCGAACACCTCAAACCCCAAAACAAATCAAGACCAAACAGACTTAGATCTCACTTTCACTACCCATATCAAAGCAGTCACCACAACAGCCTGATATCATCTCTAGAATCAAAGGTTTTGGGGTCTCAATAAGACCTAAAGAAGCTCATCCATGCTTTTATCTCCAGAAAGGTGGACTGCTGTAATGGTCTCTTAACTGGACTTCCCAAAAAGACCATTAAACACCTGTAACTTATTCAGAATGCTACTGCTAGAGTTTTAACCAGAACTAAGATTAGTATATTACCAGAACCAGGATTATTAACCATGATTAACCAGAACCAGGATTTTTAACCAGAACCAGGATTATTAACCATTATTTACCAGAACCAGGATTATTAACCAGAACCAGGATTATTAACCATTATTTACCAGAACCAGGATTATTAACCAGAACCAGGATTATTACATTACATTATTAACCAGAACCAGGATTATTAACCATTATTAACCAGAACAAGGATTATTAACCGGAACCAGGATTATTACATTACATTATTAACCAGAACCAGGATTATTAACCAGAACCAGGATTATTACATTACATTATTAACCAGAACCAGGATTATTAACCGGAACCAGGATTATTAACCGGAACCAGGATTATTACATTACATTATTAACCGGAACAAGGATTATTAACCAGAACCAGGATTATTACATTACATTATTAACCAGAACCAGGATTATTAACCGGAACCAGGATTATTACATTACATTATTAACCAGAACCAGGATTATTAACCGGAACCAGGATTATTACATTACATTATTAACCAGAACAAGGATTATTAACCATTATTTACCAGAACCAGGATTATTAACCAGAACCAGAATTATTACATTACATTATTAACCAGAACCAGGATTATTAACCATTATTTACCAGAACCAGGATTATTAACCAGAACCAGGATTATTACATTACATTATTAACCAGAACAAGGATTATTAACCATTATTTACCAGAACCAGGATTATTAACCAGAACCAGAATTATTACATTACATTATTAACCAGAACAAGGATTATTAACCATTATTTACCAGAACCAGGATTATTAACCAGAACCAGGATTGTTACATTACATTATTTACCAGAACCAGGATTATTACATTACATTATTAACCAGAACAAGGATTATTAACCATTATTTACCAGAACCAGGATTATTAACCAGAACCAGAATTATTACATTACATTATTTACCAGAACCAGGATTATTAACCATTATTTACCAGAACCAGGATTATTAACCAGAACCAGGATTATTATATTACATTATTAACCAGAACCAGGATTATTAACCATTATTTACCAGAACCAGGATTATTAACCAGAACCAGGATTATTAACCATTATTGACCAGAACCAGGATTATTAACCAGAACCAGGATTATTAACCATTATTGACCAGAACCAGAATTACTATGTTACATAAATAACCAGAACCAGGATTATTATATTAAATTACTTCAATTCTAAAATCTTCACGCTGGTTTCTGTTTAGTCATTGAACAGAGTTTAAAGTGCTGCTGGTGTTTCAGCCCGAATGAATCACTGATACGTTTACAGAATATAAAGTGAGTGGGTCGCTATGATCTGTGGACTCAGGTCAGCTAGTCAAGCCCAGAGTTCAAACTAAACATGATGAAGCATCACTCAGCTGTTATGCACCTGGAACAAACTGTCAAAAGACCCTATATGAGCTCCGAATGTAGAGATTTTCAAGTCCAATAAAAACATTCCTCGTGTGCTAATGATTGAGCTCTAAGACTCTCTATTCTTACTGCACTTTACCTTTAATAAGCTAATCTTATTAACAATTAAGCCCTTTATTTTATTTCTTTATTTTTAAGTGATTTTCACTCTTAAGCACTTTTCCTTTAGATGTTCCTTTTTGCTTTTATTTGTGTAAAGCAGACTGAATTGCCTTTGTGTATAAAACATGCTATATAAATAAATTTGCATAAACTTGCCTAAATTTCAATACCTCACTCTCATAACTTACACATTACTTTCATAATAGTTACCGAATAATGTATGTTTGCTCCATATTATGTCTTTGGATTAATAATAAGCCCAGAGTTTAAGGGGTAAAAGTCCTCTAAGAATCGCTATCAGTCTTGACCAAAGTTTTCATTTCAGTCCTCAGGCTCTTTAGGCTCCTTTGCTGTAGAGTTTGCTTCCAGCCATCCCTTTTGGGGAGCATCTGGGTCCAGAGCAAATTTGAAAGCAGCTCCGAGCTGAAGCTCATCCACAGAGATGTGGGTTTATGTTTACAGAGTCATTTTTTGTAGCTCGTAGCTCAAATAGAACTCCCACCAGGATATTTGCTATCATTACCCGAGCTCATGGCGGTTTAGCACAGGCCAATTAAGACTGATGGCTGGCTTATCCACTCGTTGTGTTCCTCTAAGGACAAATGTGGCTGGGATCACGCGTCCCATTGTCTCGCATTAATTAATAAAAGTTGGGTTTACTTTAGACTAGGCTGGGATATTGGAATAAGACAGGCAGAATAAAGGGAGAGATATTCAATAAACCACAAATCAAATACGCAAACCTCCAATGACTAATGACTGATTTCGTGGAGGTCAAAGGCAACTCCAAATAACTCATAATAACTCGTAATAACTCATAAGCACACAAGAGCAGTTCAACATTAAAAAGCTCAGAACTTCAAGCACAGTTTTCACAGATAGAGAGTTTGAATTTTTGGGGTAAGATTTGATAAATATGTACCTTTTTGAATCTTTAACTTGTTAAAATATGGGATTATTCAGTAACTACTAAGAATCATTTAGTAAAGTGAATTGTTCAGTATCCAGGATGAATTATTTAGTAACTACTCTAATTATTCAGATGAATTATTCACTGTCTACTACAAATTATTGAGTATCTACTGCAATTTATTCAGTATCTACTATGAATTGTTTAGTATAGGCTGAATTATTCAGTATCTACTGTGAGTCATTCAGCAAATACTATGAATTATTCAGTATCTACTATGAATTATTCAGTATCTACTATAAATAATTCTATATCTACTATGGTTTATTCAGTATCTACTATAAATAATTCTATATCTACTATGGATTATTCAGTATCTACTATGAATTACTCAATAATTACTATGAAAGTAATGTTTAAGTTCTGCTGTTATGAGAACTGAAGCGTGGCCTCACATACAGTTCCATAGAGTTCACTGGGTTAAAGTTTGAATCAAAGAACATCTGAATAAGAAAGATTGGATTTTTACATTTGAATCTTTAGGAAGTTCAATCAAAGAAAGTTTGAGTGTTTAAATTTGAATCTTTAACCCCTTGATAACCAGGGTCCATTAGGTCCAGGCTTCCACTCCTCACTCCTATAATTTGAGAATAACTCAGCCAGTTTGCAATGCTTTCCATCTGATTACTGAATAATAGCTGTGGGTTTATATTAAGCCTGGAAATTTATGGAAAAAAAGTTTGAATCTCTAGACAATTTTTTTAGTTAAAGAAAGTTTTAAGTTTTTCATTTGAATCTTTAGAAAGCTTTGAACAAAAGATAGTTTGAACCCTAAATTTGAACTTTTGGAGAGTTTTGAATCAAAGAAAGTTTGAATCTTTAAATTTTAACCGTTAGTTTTAAAGATTGACGGATTGTTGGAAAGTTTTGAATAAGTGAAATTCTGAATATTTACCTCT